AATAGGATGGCATCCCTTTTAGGAATGGGCTATCTTTGATAGGATTCTGGTTTTGAGTTGATCTCTTTTGAGATAAGAGAGATTAAACGAATGAGCAGAGGAGAGCTGGGGGAAGATAGATGATAAGACATGTATGTGGAGATCGCCCAGGAACCCACAAGGACCTTCCCCCAGAGACAGGCCTGCACGGGGGCTTAGTTACAGCAGCACTAGACGCAACTCACCCCTGGCCACTCTGCAGGTGCCACTCCACCTTTTCAACCTCCATTTCTCAGCCCCTACTTACTGCTCAGCATGGGGCAAAGAAACTGACCTGGCCATTTAGCCTTCCAAGGACGCTCCCTGGTTTGCCCACTCTGCTTTTTCCGCCTGCTACCACCCAGCCCGGACAAGCTGGCATGGCCCACCTAACTTGACTCCAACTGTCCCTCACTGTGGGTAGCTCAGGCCCCATTGCTTCTTCTCTTCCCAGCAACGAAGAGCCACCGCCCTTCACTGTCACAGTTAGCCACACCACGAGTGGCCCTCGACAGGCTCCCCAAAGTCATGGATGGGCGTGCCTGGCCTGGCAGCCTCCAGCCCTTCCTGTCCACTAACCATCGCAGTCTCTCATCAAGGATCCATGGGACCACCTGCCTGCTCCCCCCTCCAGAGTCCCGCTCATAGACCACCCTGCTCTGAGGAAAGGCCTCTTGTCGGTGGTCAGATTGCATCTACCTGCACCCCTTATACCGCACCCCCAGCCCTGATCCACCACCTCACTGAGATCTACCTGACAGCAGGCCTCAAAGTATGGTGGCTTCCGGTGGCATTCCACACCTTTTTCCAAGCAGGCAGGGCGGGAGGGAGTGGGGCACTGGCCAAGCCGGTGATGTGTGCAGAAAGACCACATTGCCCTAGTGTCCCCTGGGGCCGGGCCCGGGTGCAGAGCTGACCCGTCCAGAACCTTCCCCATGCCCAGGGAATCCCAACCATCCTTCAGAAGCCTTTCCTTCCAACTGGCACAAGGCCAGGCACATGGGAGGTAGGCAGTCACCATGCCCAGCGCAGGCATGTGCTCTTTTCGCAGGCAGCCCCCCTCCCCCAAGGGAAAAGGCAACAGAGGATTCAAAGCCACTAAGGAACACGGAGGCAGGAAGGGGGCGGCATCAAGTCACCATCAGCCTTTTTGGACAAACTGTCACTCAAGTCCAGAGCAAGAGGAGCCACCTGAGGAGCCCTGCCTCTCTTTGTGGCCCAGTGATCTCTTCATACCAAGAGGGCTACTGAGGTGCAGGGGACAGAGGTCAGGGCCAGCCCAGAATCTACCCAGCCAGGCCTATGAGCTGGCCCTGGGCAAGTCATCCTCTGCCCTGGGCCTTAGTTTCCCCACTGGCTGAGAAGTCTCGGCTGGTCTCCTAGAGATGACTCCCTGCCCTCCTGCTCCCCCTCTAGGTGCCCTCCCCTGGCCCTGCCAGCCACATGCCTGAGGCAGGCCACAGGACTGGTGCCAGCTAGGAGCAGAGACCTCTTGGGATTTGGGGGGAATTCTTCCTGCCTGAAGACTGCTCTGGACAGCGTGACTGGAGGCTATAAGTCTGCCATGGGGAGTCCAGGGCCTGGCCCTGGGCTTTCTGACTCACCAGACTTGGCTGGGGCCTCCCGGGACCCCTGGGGAAAGCCTGGTGGGTGCCATTGGGAGGTGCCAGCCTGGTCGTGCTCCAGGGCGAGGACTCTGACAAATGCCCATGGTGTCCCAGTGCCAGTTCGTGCCTGGCCCCAAATCCATGGCAGTGACTTCAGTCCTACCCCCGCCTTATGGCCCTGGGGATCCTTTTCCTTGGACCTCAAGAGACCTGGCTCGGTGCCTCCCAGCTATCCAAGCCTGGCCTTCCAGGGCCATCCATCCACCCCACTGACCCGGGGTTGCTAGCTACTTCCAACCCTCTGCCAGCAGGTCCACATGGGGCCTTGTACCGAACATGCCCCAACTGAGCACCTCTCCCCATGTCCCCCTGGCTGTGCAGTACAGGCCTAGGGGCTTTAGCCCTCTGAACCCCCGTTTCCTCATCCAGACATGGAGGGAATGCTGCCAGCTCACAGGGCGACTGAAAGGACTAGGGAGCTCAGCATGGGCACACTCAAAAGTGGTTGTCAATGGAGCTACCGGGTCCCTCTCTTCCTCATGCTGCCAGTTACCGAGTGGGCTGAGTGGGCGACCTTTGGGACAGGGCACTGCACCTCTCAGGCACCCATGCCTCCCCAGCTGGCTGAGTGGACTGACGGGATGCCACTTTCAAACTCCCCAGCATAGTACCTGGCACACAGTGAGGGTGTTCTCAAAACAGGGGAACCCTGAGGGTCACTGCTCCTAAGGTGCCCTTAGAAAGACCAGGCTGAGGAGCACCTCTTCTACCTGCTCAAACGGGGTCGAGTCAGAGCTGTGTGCCCAGCGGTTGCTATGGAGTTCAACACAGGGAAACAAAGACTAGGCAGGCGAGGTGCTGCTGCGGCGGGGACGCTGCCTCCCTGCTGCCACTGGGGCTTGGGGGCCATCTTGGGCATCTCTGGGCTGGAGGGGAATATACTGCTCATGGTCCTGGCCCTGACCCTACCCCAACAAAAAAGAACAGGGTGTGCACTGGCTGTTAGAGAGACGGGCTGTGAGGCAGGAACCCAGGAACCACCCTGCCCTGGGCTGAGACCCAGACCCAGGAAACGCCACGGCTGCGAAACGCTAGGTACAGGTCCAACGTTCTTGCATGCTCTCGGCAGGCACACCTGCCCGGCAGCAAACAGGTGCCCAGCACCCACTTAGCGCCCTGCCTTGGGGGAAGTCACCGGCAGCTCTCCCCTCCTCAGCTTCACTCCAGTTCTGCCCGGAGTTGACAGAGAGGACAAGCTATTGGAGTTGGGCTGGGCTCGAGGAGCTGGCATCTCCTGGCCAAGAGAGAAGGGGAGGCAGAAGTGAAATTGGAAAGCTGTGGGCGGAGGCCTGGAACTTTCCAGACTTTCCCCAGTGAAGCAGCAGGTTTAGGGTAGCTGGAGAGTCCTATAGGTAGGGGCAGGCCAAACCTCAATCCTCAATCAGGGCTTGCTATCAATTCCTTACTGGTATCCAGCCCCTGCCTCTTACACAGACATGTCTCTTGCAGAATCTACCTGGTCGCACTAAGACACAGGAAGGGTTGGGGCCCAGGCCCTCTGTCTGGGCCAAAGCTGGGACCTCTATAATCAATGCCCCTTCACAATTCTAGAGACAGGCATGGCCACCCCACTTCACAGAAGCGGAAACCAGGCAGCTCAGAGGCAGAAGACAGTAGTATTTAAAAGCACACCAGAGTTGGATCTAAGCCTCAATGTATTAACTCAACCAAATCACTCCCTCTCAGAGCCTCAGTGTCCACCCCCCTAAAGTGAAGATAATAAGCCTACACCACCCACCCACCCCCTCTCCAGGGTACAAAGGGTTAAGTGAGACGTGCTTGTAAAAGGGGAGCACAGCACCTAAATAATAAATGCGGGCTCTAAGAATCAGACTGGCTAGGTAACTAGCCCAAGGTCATGCAGCCGGCGAATGGCCACTCTAGGCCCTACCTCTGGGCACAGCCCAGAAACCTTGGGCCCGTGTGGGTGGCTGCAGATAGCTGGCCTCCCAGGCAACTGAGGATGGTCCCCACCCCTGCTAAGAAGGGCAGTCCGAATTCCTCAGATAAGCAGCTCCCAGCAGAACAAGGAGCTTCCAGGACACAGAGGCCAAAGCACACAGAAAAGGCCTTCCACCCTGCCCACATCAAACCCAAATCATTTCGACTCAAAAGGACCCCACAGGGCAGGGAAGAACTGCCCCTGTGGGCTCCCAAGCCGGTAAATCTTGAGGAGCATAGGCATCCTCATCTTTCTCCCACACCAAAAGATTCCTAAACTTGGGGTAGGCCCCACACGCCTCTCCCTTCCTCCAGCAGTGCATTCAACCTCAGATTTCTTCAACAGGTCCCCAAACAGGCCAAGGTAGGTTGTCAGCTGCCACCTGGAAGGTCCCTGGCAAGCCACCTCCTCCCTCTGGCCCTTGGTTTCCCAATTTACCTCCATGCACAGTGAGGAGTGGGCGAGGTGTGTGTGGGGGGTGGGGGGGTGGGATTTCTAAAGGGGACCAGCCCATGGCCCTGGCTCTGCACGGCATTCTCCTCCAATGATATTTCACAGCGTGGTGGAAGGACTTGTATTAGGCCCGTTTTCCAGAAGAGAAAACTGAGGTCCTAGAGAGTGACTGAGCCAGGATTTTAACCCCCATCTGTTAGATTCCAAGGTTCTCTCCTGAGTAGTCCGGAGGTGCAAGACCCAGGGTTGGGGGGTCCAGCCAGCCAGGCACAGTCTGGGAACCCCATCACCTTCAGCAATAAGCCGGACTGCTGACAGCCTGAGGAGGAGAGGTCCGAAATCCAATCTTTCAGAACAGACAACAGCTTCCTCTACAAGGGCATTTGCAATGCAAAACAGCCCAGCTCTGCCCAGAAGGGGACAGTCACTCAGAGGGAAGGCCAAAATCCAGCCACCTCCTTCCAGCCACCCAGGGGCCTTCCCAGGCTCTGGAGAGAGCCAGGGAACCTGTGGCTGCTGAAGACTCTAAATCATGACAGCCCAAGTGGCCAGCCGGGGTGCAAGGGGGTGGGTCTAGATACCCTGGGACACCCCTTTCTCTACCACCCTCTCCTGGCCCACACTCCACCGGCTCCTTAGTGCTATCTCATCTGGCCAGCTATAACATAGGTCTGCCAAGGGCTGCCGTAGGGCACCCAGAGAGCTTGCTGAAAGGACTGACCCCAGGATGCCAGGCCAATGACCTGCAACAACGGAGACCCTGCCAACACACCTCCACGGGGGGCGATCCAGCCTGTGCAACACGGCCCTTCACACACGTCCCCAAAGGGGAGCTATCCCTCTTGCCAAGCCGCTGTGTCACCCTCCTCCCCTGCAGGCACTCGCTCCAGAAGGGGCCAATGACTGCCCCCAGCTCCTACCTGGACGACAAGCTGACAAAATCCCCGCCATCCAGCAGCCGGACCTTGCAGAAGAGGACCCCGTTGACGAAGGGGACAGCAGTCAGTTCCTCCAGGGTAAAAGTGGTTTGAAATTTGAATTTCTTCTTCTTCATCAAGAAAGCCATGGGCGAAATCCCTGAGTCTGAAGCCCCGAAGGCCAAGAAAAAAAAGGGGGTGCAGAAATCCCCAGGATTCCTTTCCTTACCCCACCCCCCCTCCTCGAAACACCAGCGTCGGCGGCCGAGGTGGCAGGCCGGGCGGGGGTCTGAGCG